GGAGGGGGCCTGGAGCAAGACAAGAAGCAAGCACACAAACGCCGTTTGCACCAGGGTTATTTTGCCGGCGGTAAGCCGCTGCCTGCATCCCACAGCCTCCTGCCAACACACTAGAGAGGGCGGCTGGCCCTCAGCACCCACTTCCCTGCTCTCCAGGGCTCTCTATAGACTTGGTACTGATTTGAAGAGTATAAACATCAGGGAGCAGGGTATTTCTAAGCATAAATACACCTCAATGCCCGTATTCCCATTTCCTCCAGCTACAGAAGCCTCTGTAGAGGTGCTGGCCCTTGAAGCCACCTTTAAACCACCCTAAATTACATTGGCCACAAGGATCAGAAGTTGCAGCTGGAATTCAGGCTACTGGGGAGGTCCAAACCATAGCCCATTTCCTTTCCATGTACCACTGCAAGGCAAGAGGATGTGCAGAAGAGCTCTGCTACCCTCAGAGGCTCTTTGTCCACAGGGGTGGCCCCTCCTGGGGGTCACAGCCAGAGCCTGTGGTGGCACACGGGAATTCAGCTCAGGAGCTGAGCAGCATGGCATCAGCTCACCCGTTTATGAACACATGTGCCTCATGCCAGGTTTTAGCTGGAGCATATCCAACTCCTGCTAAGCTGGAAACAGCCCTCACACGTAGACTGGCATTCCCAGTGTCTGTGGATCTGAGTAACTGGCGCGGTGATGTGGCAGGTGAAATACAAAGGCACAGCCCATCTGACACAGGACCAGGGCTGTCCTGAGGAGGTGAAGCAGAGGGTGTGGAGGGCTGCGCATGTTCAAAAGTCTTGCTGCCTCTGTCTGGCACAGTTGGGCAACTGACAAATATGTTCATTTTTATGAAATGCTTCCTTGTCCTGATGAAATCTAGCTACAGATGTGTGTTTTAAAAAAGAGCACCAGATACTGTGTCTCCAGAAACAAGCATGCTTCAAGAAACATGCTGTATTTTTGGGGGTTTTCCTTCCCCCCCTTTTTTTTCCCCTCCTTCTTTCTTTTATAAATTACCGAAGTTCACCTTCAGGGAACAGTTTCTAAGAATGAGAAGCATTTAACAACTTTCTGAATACTTCTTGCTCTCTCTCTAAACCTACCTAAACCCCTTCATCAATACTGAACTGCTGTAGAACAGGAATATTTACATTTATAATTTATCACTACAACCTCCTTCTGCTTATTTAAGCCAGCAGAAAAGTAGCACAGAGTTGCTAAAACCATCTGCCTCAGAAAAGAGCCAACCAGGAAAGCAGCGGTGGAAGTGGAGGCCATCGCGGACAAAGCTCTTGGAAGTGTCTGAGTAATTTCAGACGTGCTCTGCAACTCAGATCCACACTCCCAGTCAAACGTGACACAGTTTCTCTCATCTGTTTGCTGCAGGCCACGCTGGCATTATTGTGTCATCCTTTGGGCTGGCAGCCATCCCTATAAAGCAGGGTTTCGGGGCCAGGATTTTTTGTACCTGCATGGCTGCTACAGGTGCCGCGCTATAGGGGATCCAGCCTGGTTAAAGGAGCTGGAAGGAGACCTGGATGGCTGTGGCCAGTGGGAGCTCCCCTAGCACTCATCTCTATTGTCCAGGATTGGGCAGGTCTGAGATGATTCCAAATTTTTATTCCAAAGGATGAGATGAAAGGCAACTCTATGGAGCTTCCCAGTGTTGCCTTCTGTGCAATGCTTCTCCCTTCCCGATGTTACAGGGCCTGGCTGTTTGTGCCTAAATTCTCTCATTCCAAAGGGAGCACCACCAGGTATTATGAGCTACGTTACGGCTTGCAATCCTTAAGCGTTACAAACAATAGTTGTCACAGAGGACAATGTGTATTATGAAATACCTCAAACGCTTCTATTTTTAGTATCTGCGCACGGTGTGTAACAACAGGTAGTCACACTGTAACAACTCCCATTACATGTAACAACTGACAGCTGGGTCTTTTATTAAAATAATTTGTAGGTGGCTGTAAGGGTGCGTGTCTCCCCGCACGCAGACGGCGGGTCGGGTTCTGCACACCCCCACTCCCCAGAACGCCCCATTAGCTGGCTGACGGGGGAGGGCAAGTGCTGTCACCTACCAAAACCCAGATAAAACTGCTCCTTCGGGTGGAAGAACATGATGGGGAATCCGCTGTTTTCAACCCTTCCTAATGACAGCAGTTGGGGCGGAAGTTGCCGAGATGTGCAGACGCACAGGTGACTCTCCTGAAGCCACCGCGATGCCCACAGACCCTCG